CATCATTGGGAATGGTGACCTTAATCACTTCATTAAGGTCGTGTCTACCAGGGTGTTTTTTCCCCTTTAAAGTTATTATTTTCTCCTGTGTACTCTTGTCTTTGGAAGTGAATCCCTAAGTCCAATCCATATTCAAGGGGAGGAAAAACACCTACATATATTATTTGGGATCCTTTATTAAGATAAGTTGTCCCGTCTCCTACATTAATTTATTTATATCAGTGTAGACTCATTTATATTTGTTTTATAGTTTGAGTTTTAATCCAGTATTGCATTTATTTGTGTTTTTTTGCACAAACTGTTACAGGTTTGGACCTTGGAAGTGCTTTGAGGGTGTCTCCTGTGTCCCTTTGATATGTCCCTATTTTTTCTGGCCCTGTGAGTGGCTCCTGATTTCTCTGTGTTCTCTGTCTCTGCCATGCAATCAGCTGTCTCCAAAGATCCCTGCTTCCCTTTCCCGAACACTATCAAATAATAGCACTTAGAAACCAAGGTCTAGGCACTAGGTGGGTTTGTGGCTACAGTGTTGCTTCTGTACCCTCTCAGAACAGAACTAAGAAATACTGGTGTGAATAGTATAATTATTTCTCAACTGTAATCTCATTGTTGGACATGTTTCATTCTAGCCTTCCCTCTTTGCTTATGTGTAACTTTTTTCTGTGACCATGAAAACCTGGCTTCCATTGTCTACTGTCTATTGACTTCTTTATTCAGTTCCATTACACATGTAAAGTAGGTTTTCTGGGAAGCAAATTTACCAACTAGAGTACCGTGTTTATGTACACATATTTTGGATCTGTGCTTGGGAATCTGAGCAAGCAGAGAGGCGACATAAGTTAACATGCATTTTTCTACTATGTGGGTGGTGGTGGGCACCCCTAATTCCCCCTTGTTCAAAGGTCAGCTGTAGTTATTTTTGTCTTCAGCCTTATAGTGAACAGTCAAAACACCATTTTTCAAACCTACTTTGGTCAGCTTGTTTTCCCACCTCCTTCAGTGAGGTCATGCTGCACATGTTTGTGATTCACTTCAGCTCATTCGTCACAATTTGCATTCCACTCTGGAAGCCCCTGACTACCAGTGTCTGCTGTTGTTTTTAATGTGCGCACATTAATATTCACCCAGTGTGATGCACAAGTCTTTGGGTTTTGACAAATACTTAGAGGTGTGTACCCTCTACCCTAGTATAATAAATACAATACAGTTCCTTTACCTACAAATGCCCCTTGGCATCTCCTGTATAGTCAGCCACTCTCCCCTTCCCCATTCACAGGCATCTGCTCTGTTTTCTGTCTCTATGCATAGTTTTACTCTTTTCAGAATGCTACATGAATGGAATTTGTACCACTTTTTGAGTCTGGCTTTCTTCACTTGCAAAATGCATTTAATATTCATCCACATTTATTACCTAATAGTGTCACAATGTGAGGATGTAACCAAAAATACTGGTTGAGCAGCATGCTGCAAGGAAAGCCAAACTTGTGAGACAGGTGCTGGTACAAAAGAAAGAGGTTTGTTCAGGTGCTGTACCTGGGAGAATGGTGGACCCCCATCTCAAAGATCAACTCCCCTTCCTGCTCCAGCCTCTGGTTCTTATAGGGATAGGAAAGGGTGAGCTTTTTTCCATCCAAATATCTTGCCAGCTTTTGGTACACTAGGTTTCTGTCCTTTCAGCTTTCTAGCTTTCAGAGTGCTCAGATCCTATCCATTTATCTTTGGAGCTTTTGGTGCTCTTGGTGTAAGAACCTCCCCCTGTGCCATCTTGGCCAGTGGAGGAGACTCCCCAGTGCTGCTGGACTCCATGGTAGTGCAGGTGGGCTTCAGGACCTGCCATTAGGAAGCCTGGAGATGCCACAGCCCTCAGCCCCTCTGCCAGCACTGGACAGGGCACCAGCACATCGGGGGAAGCCAATTGGAGTCCACCAGGGCACCCTTGGATCCTGGCATTCTGGGTCCACTGTGCAGCCTCTGCTCACCTGCCCCTCTGAAGTCACCAGCTAGGCCCGCACTCCAACTGACGCTGGGTGCAGCAACACAGGTGTACCAATTTGTTTATTCATTCACCATCCTGGCTGCTTCCAGTGCTTGGCTATTTGAATAAACCTGTTGTAATAATTCACATACAGGTTTTGGGGTGAACATAAGGTTTCAGTTCATTTGGGAACACATTTAGGAGTTGGCTTGCTTGGCTGTATGGTATTTCTTGAACTTTTTAGGAATTTGACAAATTGCCATCTATAGTGGCTACAGCATTTGGCATTCCCACCAGTGATGAGTGAGAATTCCTCATGATCTTTGCCTTCACCAGCATTTGTTGTTATGAAGTTTGGTTTTGTTTTGGATTTTAGCCATTTCTAACCTATGTAGAGATAACTCATTGTGGTTCCAATGTTTTTCTCTAATGACAAGTGACTGTCATTAGATCATCTAATGTCTAATGACATATGCTCATTTTCCATTTGTATATTCACTTTTGTGAATTGTCTGTTCACATCTTCTGTTCATTTTATTGTTGTTGTTTATTGTTTTCTTATATTTGAGTTTTAAGGATTCTTTAGATATGAGTCCTTTTTTAATATGCAATTTGCAAATATTTTCTCTCCACTTGCAGCTTGCATTTTCATTCTTTTAATAGTATCTTTCACAGAGCAAACATTTCTAATTTTGGTAAGTCCAATTTAACAATATTTTGTTCAACAATTATGTGTTTCTTTTCTTATCAAAAAATTCATTGCCAAACACTAGATCTTGCAGATTTTTCTACTTTGTATTTTTCTAGAAGTTTTATATTTTTATGTTTACATTTAAATATATGATCAATTTTCCATTTTTTTCTGTAAGATATGAGGTGTGCATCAAGGTATATTTTTTGACCCTTTATAAACATACAGAGACATTTATTGAAGAAAAGACTGTTCTTTCTCTGTTGAATTAACTATGCATCTTTCAAAAAAGAGTTTATTATATTTGAAGGTAGCTATTTCTAGGCTCTCTTCTGTTCCAGTGATCTGCATGTCTATATACTTTTGCCATCACCATAGTTTTGATTACTATAACTTCATAGCATGTTTCAAATTGGGTAAGGTGTATCCTCTGACTGTTCTTTTTTTTGAATTACCTTGTTAATTTGATATCCTTTGCCTTTTCACATAAATTTTACAATTTCCTTTTCAATATCTTCCAAAAGAACTTGATGGATTTTTTTAATTGGGATTGTGTTTAATCTAAAAATTAAATTAGAGTTAACATCTTAACAGTATTGAGTATTCCAATTCATGATCATAGAATATCTTTTCATTTACTTAGCTTTGCTGATTTTTTCACCAATGTTTTGTAATTTTTAGCATAAAAATTCTGTACATATTAATGTTTAATCCATTCTATCCTGTAGTTTTTTTAGAGTGTTTTTCTTTGTATTTAAGGTTTTTATTTTGAGAGAGAGAGAGAGGAAGGGAGGAAAATATTGATATCCAGAGAAACATCCATCGGTTGCCTCTCACAAGCCCCCGATCGAGGACCTGCCCTGCAACCCAGGCCTGTGCCCTGCCCGGGAATCGCACCTTTCAGTTCGCAGCGTGACTCCCAACCTACTAGCTACACCAGTTAGGGCGAGAGTCCATTTTTAAATCATGAATGGCTGTTAAATTTTATTTATTGATTTTTCTCTCTGGTGATGTAATCATACAGTTTTCTTTTTTAATCTTTTAACCGACTCAGTTACACTGGCTTATTTTTAAATGTTGAACCAGCCTTTTATTCCTGCACTGACTTTCTGGTTTTTTGTGATGTATTATATTGAATATTTTGGATTCAGTTTGTTAATATGTCATCCTATATTTTGTGTGTGTGTGATCTTGAGATATTAGCCTGTAGTTTTAATAATAATCTGTTTTTAGTTTTAGTGTTAAGTCATGATGACCTCATCAAATGAGACAGAGAGTATTCCATCCTCTTCTGTTTTCTGGAAGACATTATATGGAGTTGGTATTTGATATTTTGTATTATTTCTTCCATAAGTGTTTTGTAGAATTTAGCAGTAAATCATCTGGTCATACATTTTTGTCCCTTTTCTCTTCCACATAATATCTAGAGTAATCTTTTTGAGTTTTATGAGAAACCTTATTGTGAATTTATCTAGAGTTTATTTAATTAATATATCCATTGAGGAAGAATGAACACCTTTATATTGTTAACATTTCTGTTTTCATAATGTCTCCAAGTATGTATTTATAATTTTCACTATCCAGATTGTATCTGTTTTGTGTCTTTTTACTTGGCTGTTCTTCTGGTGCAGCAGACTTCATGTGTCCACTCAGACTGTGCTCACGCCTGGCCTATAAACCTTCCCGGGAATAGCAGTGACTGTGCCCACTGGCACCCAGGTCGGAATCCTGGGAATCTGCTGCGCTCTGCCTCAGTCTGCCTCTGCCTCCATGTCTCCAACATCCTCTCATGTCCTGAGGTTCTATAGGCGTCCAGGCTTCACTCAGATCTGACTGTGCATTCTGTCTCCTTTGCCTACAGCACCCCCTTCCACTTCCTCTGTCAGGTTGTTTTTACCTCTCTATTGGGAAACAACTCATGGCAACACCTGGGAAACCTCTTGTGATCTGTTTCACTCTCCCATCTGGACTGGAATTGGTGCATCCTACTCGTGCTTCCCAAACACCATGATGAGACGTTTTCTCTTAGAGCCAACATACTGCATGTGATGTCAGCATGACACTGTCTGCTCTCCTTGATTCTGGAATGGAAGGAGGGTTCTCCCACCAGATCCTCTGTTCTCTGCCCAAGCACCCACTCTTGAGTTTCTCTTTTTAAATGTGCAGAGCCCAAGGAACAGAAAGGAACAAATTGTAAAGCTGGGTTTCAGAGATGTGAAAACATAACAGACTCAGAGGCATTGTTGTCATCATTTTTCATTTAATAAAAATGGTAATTTTGTTTTTTCTATGTTGACATCACTAATAGGATGCTCTTGTGTAATTGATTCTTTTCAGGAGCCAGAGCCAAGTCAGAGACAACAGAACCGACATTTTCTCAGCTGCTCTCGTCTGAGGGACACTCACTTCGGGTCTGGCTGAGGCAGGGATCTTCGAGGGACTCCAGGACTGCAAAACTGAGTGCTCAGGAAGGGCTATCAGAAATGCAGGAAGGAATCTTAAGGCCAGTGACAGAGACCAACAAGGAGACAGGCCCTGGGAAGATGAACCCTAAATGCGATGAGTTGCGGACAGGTAACAGTCCACACTCAAGAGTTTTACAGGAGTGAGTCTCTCCAGTAGGTGTTCTCCATGAAAGTGACACACACAGACTAGTTAAAGACCCCAGTAATCAAGTGGGGAAGAGCCATGATGCATATAGTGAATGCAGGAATATCAGGAATTGGGATCTTGTACATGACTGTGTTCATGCTAAAGCAAAGCCCTATGAGTGCATAAAGTGTAGGAAGACCTTTAGCTTAACATCAGACCTCATGCAGCACCAGCAGGTCCACACTGGAGTACAACCTTTTGAATGCAAAGAATGTGGGACAACCTTTTGCAACAGTTCTGCTCTCAGGCGACACGTGAAGAATCACACTGAAGAGAAACCTTATGAGTGCAATAAATGTGGAAAGGCCTTCACCACACAGTCGAACTTAATTAAGCATCGGAAGACCCACACTGGAGAAAAGCCCTTTGTGTGCAAAGACTGTGGGAAAGCCTTTTGCTACAGGTTTAATTTGAGTCAACACATGCAGATTCACACTGGAGTGAGGCCCTATGAGTACAGTGAATGTGGGAAAGCTTTTTGTCGCAAGTCACACCTCACAGAGCACCGGCGAATTCACACAGGAGAGAAGCCCTATGAATGCAGTAAATGTGGAAAGTCTTTCTCCTACCACTCTGGTTTTTTCCAACATAGGTGGATCCATACTGGTGAGAAACCTTTTAAGTGCAAAGAATGTGGGAAAACCTTTTGCTCCAAGTTTAATTTGCATCAACACATGAAGGTTCACCTTGGAGGGAAGCCCCATTCATGAAACAAATGTGGAAGGGCCTTCAATCAGCACTCATTTTGTACGCATCACTTGACCTGCACTGGATTAAAACCCTTTAAATGCAAAGCCTGTGGGAAAGCCTTTAGCTGCTACTCTAATTTCAGTCGGCATGTAAAGATTCACTGGAGAGAAGACCTGTGAGTTCATCAAATGTGGGGAAACTTTCAGGCACAACTCATACCTCCAACACCAGCAGATTCACAAGATAAGCCAGTAAATGTGGACTTGTTTTCGCTTAATACTTATCTTTATCCATTATAATAGGATCCTTACCTATTGGAAACAAATTTTTACTACTTCATGAAACAAATGAAATGTTCCTCCTTTCTTCTCCTCATGGTTAAATCCTCTCATTCACCTCTCCCCTGCACCCCCAAGGCCTATTTTCTCCAAGGCTGCTGGCTCCTTACAGGGCTGAGAGGTGCCTCCTGCTTAGTGTGGAGCTCTGGCACCCAGTCTCTGGAAGTTTAACGCTTGGTGTCAAATCCCAGCACTGGAGGCTAGGAGCTGTGTGGCCCTGTGCACGTTACTAAACCTTTCTCCACTTCAGTTTGCTCATGGGTAAAATGGATGATTTAGTAATATATTACCACTTCACAGGCTGCTATGAGAACAAACGGTTTTGTGTACTCCCTGAGTGTGTATGGGTTGACAGTTATCCCTGCTGATGTTGCTATTTATTGGGACTGTTACTGTCATCATCACTGTCATGCCTGGATTCAAGACCCTTAGGAGCAATTTTGTGAAGCTTTGTGGTTAAACAGCACAGATACCAGAGGCAGTCACACCTGGATCCCAGCTCAGATTAGGTGTTACCATTTTTGTCCATTTCAGCAAATTTGGTTATTTCCTTGACCTTCTTTATTGTCATCTATTAATGATGACAATAGTCATTAGGATGCCATTAGGAACACCTAGAATGAGTTATTTCCTTCCGTTTTACTTACAACATAAAAAGACTGTGAGGCTTACACACAGTGACATCAGGAAGGTGGTAGAATAGGAGGTTCCAGCCATTGTTCTCACAGAAGCTTCAGTTTTACAGTGATCCACACTCAGTAAATGCCTTCTTGCAAAGTTCTGGTGTCTGGCTGAGAGATTTTACCACTCAGGTGGCGCATAGAAATGAGAAAAGATTCATTCAAAAGGAGAGGATCAACAGTTTCAGTTTACCTGCACCACCTTTACCTCAAACCCATTTAGCTGAGCACTGAGAGAGATTCTCTCCACTCAGGAGCTCTCTGATGGGGAAGAGTAGAATAAGTGTTTGACTTTTTTGTGGATCCAGGGTCCAGTCATATTTCAGCCGGCCTGGGTTCCAGCAGTTTCCAGGACTACTCCAGCCCTCATTCACTTACCATCCTGGTGGCCTGCACCCACAGACACAGGCTTATTCCTTTCCCAGTGGATCCCAGTGGACCCCGGGGCCAAGGTACACCCCTCAGACTCAGGTTCCAGGCCTACCTACCCAGACTGGGCCACAGCCCCGGCCTTTGAGCCCCATCCCACAGACCAGGTTCCAGGCCAGCTCCTGTAGACTGGGGCTTCAGGCTACCACATAAGCTATAGGTCTGCCCTGGTGGTTCCTGGTGCCAGACCACCCCCAGAATCCCAGGTTTCAGGCTCACATCTGTGGGCCCATGTTCCAGGCCCACCTCATATGATCCAGGTGCCAGGTCAGCCCCTGTGGACCCAGGCTCCAGACCTATCCCAATAAATAGGTTATATGGCTGGGTCCTTGACTGGTGCCAGGACCTATGGGTGAGTAGGCAGGTGTCAAGCCATCTCCTACAAACCTTAGTATCAGGCCAGTTCACCCATTGACCCTCATACTAGGCTTCCCCAAGGAACCTTCCAGTCGCCTGTCCTAGAATATCTGCCCAGGCTGATTGGTGAAGAGAGGCTTGAGTGGGAAGACACCAATGCAAGGCCACAGGGATTACAAAGAATCAAGAGGACAGTGCCACCAAAGAAAGCAAGCATCAGTAACTGGTCCTAATGGTATGGAGATCTACAAATAGACTGAAAATAGTTCAAAATAATTATCTTAAGGAAGCTCAGTGAGTTACAAGATAGCACAGAAAGTCAACTAAGCAAAATCAGGATAACAATATGTGAACAAATCAAGACATTCAGCAACAGAACAGGAATTATTTAAAAGGAACCAAATAATTAGGGCTAAAGAATACAATGACTGGCCTGGAAAAGTCCATACAGGGCTTCAAAACCAAACTTGATCATGCAGAGGGAAGAATTAGCAAGTTCAAAAACAGTTCTAAAAATACACAAAAACCAAAGGAGGGAAGAGAGTGAAAAATGTCTACTGGACTAATGGGGCACTGTAGCATATGCCCTGGTTTGGGAGGGAACTCGGGGGAGGAATGGCAGTTTGTGTTACTGTAATGCAAGTGCCAGACATGGCTTTGATTGCTGAGGCATCTGTTCGGAAGGGGATCGATCCACTTCAAAGAGCTATCTCAAATATACACATTGCCAGCCACACAACTAGGTAAAGAGCCACACCACCTTCCTGCACTGAGGATTTTCTGCTTTAGAGGTCTTGGTTGATTTTAATAACTGACCATTGGAGCTACCTGTTTGTTGTGTCTTCTGGCACTTTAAATTTCTGCTGTTATATTTTAAATTCAATAAAAAATGAGCCTGTAAGGAGATGAGGGTTGGTGGGCTGGGTGAAAAAGGTAAAGGGGTTAAGAAGTACAAATGGTTAGTTACAAAATAGTCATCAGTGTAAATTTTAGCATAGGGAATATAGTCAGTAATATCACAATAATTACATATGGGGCCATGTGGGTACTTGAAATATTGGGGAGACCATTTGTAAAGTATAGGATTGTCTAACCACTGTCCTGTACATCTGAAACTAACAAAAAAGTGGATATAAACTGTAATTGAAAAAAATTTAAAAATATTTCAACTAATCTGTGGGCTGAGAGCCAAACATAAAACTTAACTTCAAAAAGAATATGGAAAACTAAAAATGCACTTAAGGATCTTGATGGTTAGGATATCATTGACATTTTATTTATATGTTAAGTTACATTTCCACTAATAACAAAAATAATGTGTGCAGTGCTTTGTAAGTATGACTTTGTAGGGATGACTCTTTTTCCAGCATTTGCTACAATTTGTGTCTTAAAGGTGGTTTTAAAAAAAAGAATGAGGCTGTGAAACCCTAGGCCCTCATTCTCAATTCCAAAAAAAGCAGAACCCCGAGGCCTGTGAGCTCCGTCTCCACCTGTGAACTTGCTGTGTGGCCCCAGGTGTACTGTGTAATTTCTAGGTCTTGTAAGTGATAACCATGTATTTCAGAGTTTCCTGATGGTTATTGCTAAAGGGTTTCTTGAGATCGTAATAAGAAACACAGGGACTGGTCCAGCCACAACACTACTTACCGATAGGCTGAGGCCAGTACAAAACAGACACCATCAAGCAAGCCAATATACAGTCAGTCCTCTATATTCATGGAGTTTGCCACATTGGATTCAACCAGCCATGGATCAGAAATACTAGGGAAAGTGACATTGTTGCTGACATGTACTATGTAGTTCAGTACAATGGTTGCATCTGTACTGAACATGCACAATTTCATCTTGTCATTCCTTAACACAGTGCAACAACTATTTACACAGCATTTGCACTGTTCTAGGTATTATAAGTAATTGAGAGATGGTTTAAAGTATCAGGAGAATGTGCTTAGGTGATATGCAAATACTAGCCATTTTGTGTAAAGGACTTGAGCATCCACGGATTTTGGTATCTGCAAAGGGTCCTGGAACCATCCCTGCAGATACCAAGCGATTACCATACACATTATGAAAGTTAAAGAAGGGCGGAAAGGCTATTAAAAAATGGCTGAAAACTTTCCAAATCTGATGAGAGAAAAGAACATCCAAATTCATGAAACCCAAAATATACAGATGAATTGAACCTGAAAGGCATATACCTAGACACATTTTAATAAGTTGTCAAGATTCAAAGAGGATTTTGAAAGCAGTAAGAGAAAATCAACAGGTAAAGACATATATAGACAAATAGAGAATAAAATAAAACTAAGGGTGATTTCATGTACCATTTTAACCCTAGTATAAAAATTAAAAGGTAAAAGTTAGGAATAATTGTTACCACAAAATATGTTGATAGGTACAAAATAGAAACAAATGAATTTTGACATCAGTAATGCAAAGTGTGTTGTAGGAGTAAAAACATTTTTGTATGTGATTGAAATTAAGTCATAATTTGCTCACATAGATTTATAACAAATAAGCATCTTGTGGAAGCCTCATGGTATCCACAGAGGGGGAAAAACCTATAGCAGATCAAGAAATATAAAGAGGGAAGTGAATCATTACCCAAAAAAAACAACTCACAAAGGAAAACAGAGGAGCAAAAGAACTACAAAACACAGGAACACATTAACACAATGGTGGTGGTAAGCCCTTAACTATCAATGACTTTTAAAGCATTAAATGTAAGGAGTGATGTCAGCATTATGGAGTGAGAAGACCCATTTGTATCTTCCCCTCAATCTACCACTAGTTAGATATCTATAACCCAACAAAGATCCTTCTGCTCAACACTGGCATGAACAGGAAATTAGCACATTGGTACATCTGAAGGTGTGCATTTTGGAATGCATAGAGGAGGCAGAATGGAGGGGAAGACAAGTATTGCCTGCAGACATGGCTCCTTGGCCCCTGCAGCAGAGCCTGAGGCCCAACCCAATGCAGTAGTGATGGAGGAGTTGGGGTGCAGCTCCAGGTGAGGAGGCAGAAGCAGCATCAGTGCCTGGGAATACAGCTCCCCTCTGCTTCAGGACCTGGTACAGCAGCGGAGATACATGTACAGACTCCCAGCTATACAACAGTGATGCCAGCAGCCATGGGGAACCAGGTAACAACTGGGCTCAGGAGCCTGGCCCCCAGCCACATCCCTCCACCACGATAGTGGTGCCCTGAGACCCAGGGACCCAGATATAGCCAGGACACCCACCACCCTGGTCGTCCACATGGGAACTTCCACAATTACATAATGTTCCCCTACTGTGACCCTGGAGGCAAGGAAGCAGGTGAGGAAACAAACTTCTGCTCTTGCACCACTTACTGGAAAACAAAGACAGACCTCTAGTTATTAAGCTGCTGACTTATTAAAATGGTGCCCAAATAAGAAAGGTGTTCATTACTCCTAGACCACTAACAGAGGAACAACCCATCGAGCACTATGAACAACCAAGGCAACATGGCAACAGAAGGGAAATCACAGTTCTGCAGGAACCAAAGTCAGTGTCATGGAAGGCAGTGATCCAAATGGTAGAGGATAGACAAGAGCTGTTATGAAAAGGCTGAATGTGATACAAGAAATTTCAGAAAAGTTGAATTAGTTCAATGACAAAGTTAATGAACAAAGGAGTACTTTGCCAAAGAGATTAAAGCTATAAAAAGAATTAACTTTTGGAGTAAAAGAATTCAATAAATGAGATGAAGAATACACGTGCTCACTTTGGCAAGGAATGCAGTAGAAGCACTGGGATTAAAGAAGAGCATATGGAAGCGAGGACCAGTGAACTAGAAGCTGGAAATCTAGAAATGCCTCAGGTGGAAGAGAAGAGGGAACTAAGTTTTTTTGGTTTTTTTTTAAAGATTTTATTTATTTTTAGGGAGGGAAGGGAGGGAGAGGGGGAGAGAGAGAGAGAGAGGGAGAGAGAGAGAAACATCAATGTGCGGCTGCTGGGGGTTATGGCCTGCAACCCAGGAATGTACCCTGGCTGGGAATCGAACCTGGAACACTTTGGTTCCCAGCCCGCGCTCAATCAACTGAGCTATGCCAGCCAGGGGGAACTAAGTTTTTAAAAATATTTTATATATTCTTAGAAGGAGAGAAACATCAATGTTAGGTAAACATCAATCTGCTACCTCTCACACAGGCTGCAGCCAGAGACCAAACCCACAACCCAGGGATGTGCCCTTGGCCGGGAGTCAAACTGGCAACCTTCCACTTTGTGCGTTGACACCAACCCGACTGAACCACACTGGTCAGGGCAACTACCTTTTAAAAAAAAAATCAAAGAACTCTACCAGAACTATCTAACTTCATTAGAAAAGGCAGCATAAGGATACTGGGTAACCCAGGAGAAGACAGGGAAAAGGGAACAGAGAGCCTATTCAAAGAAATAATTGATGGGAATTTTCCAAACCTAGGGAAGGAACTACACTTCCACATAAAAAAGCTAATGGAACACTTAATTAACTCAACACAAAAGGCCTTCTCCATGAAACATTAAAACTGTCAAGTGTTAATGACAAAGAATTCTCAAGGCAGCTGGGGGAAAACAAAATTAACAAAGGAAATTTAGCAGGTAATCATCAGACTACCCAGCAGAAACACGATAAGCCAGGAGAGAGGGGCATGACATGTTCAAGTACTGAAAGATAGAAACCACCAGCCAAGAATAATATATCCAGCAAAGGTATCCTTTAAATATGAAGGAGAAATAAAGGCTTTTCCAGGCAAACAAAAACAAGATTTACTACCACAAGACCTGCATTTCAAGGAATTTTGAAAGGAGCTCTTTTACCTGAAACAAAAAGACAAAAGTACCCAAAGCTCCCAGTAAGATGACAGACAGAAAGAAAAATAAAATTGCAACTTTATTTCAAAATGGGGTGTTAAAAAGTTAATTGTAACATAAAGGTTACAAAGAGGAAAACATTAAAAATAACTGTAGCCTCCAAAATTTGGTAATGAATGTACAACATAAAAAGGGATAATTTGCAACAAACCAAAACATTAAAGGGGAGGAGGAAGGATGGAATTTGCAGTCGAATGAATTGAGATGCTATGAGAATCAAAAACAAACTACCAAACCATTTTATCTATGAAACATTTTATACAAACCTCATGGTAACCAAAAAAGAAAAATCCAGAGCTTTCACACAAAATATAAAAAGGAAAAAATGGAGAGCCTTGCGGTTAGAGTAGTCTCGGTTGCAGGCCTTTGCTTTCATTACTTGGAATGTTTCTTCCAGTCCCTTCTGGCTTGGAGTGTTTCTGTTGAGAAGTCAGCAGCTAGCCTTATCGGGGCTCCCTTGTGTGTTATTGCCCGATCCCAAACCTCAACACTGTAGGAGAATTGAGAATTTTGAGGAGAACTCAAAATGGATTAAAAACCTAAAACTTTGAAACCTCCATTTGGAAACAGGAGAGAATTTTCTTTCTCTGGATTAAACAAAGATTTCTAATATACATCACCAAAAACATGCTCAACAAAAGGAAAAACATAATACGTCGGGTCTTACCAACATTAAAATTTTCTTCCACAAGAAAAATTCTGTTAAGATAGTAAAAAAACAACAACATAGACTAGAAGACAACATTGGCAAATCTCATATCTAATTAAGGACCTGAGTCTAGACTGTATTAAGAATGCTCAAAACTTGATAATATAACAAAAAAAGAGTAATGGGCAAAAAATCTGAACAGTTGCTTAACCAAATAAAGGGATATCAGTAAGCATGTGTAAAAGCTCTAAACAACATTAGTCATCAGGAATATACAAAATAAAGCCACAGAGAAATACCACTACATCCCTGACACAAATGGTTAAAATGAGACAGACTGCTCATACCAAGTACTAGAGAGAATACAGAGCAATCAGAATTCTCATGCTCTGCTGGTGGGGATGTAAAATGGTATAACCAGTTCTTTTTTATTTAATCCTTATTGTATTTTTTTCCATTACCATTTAGTATTCTTATACCCCTCTCTCCCCAGCAATCACCACACTGTTGTCCATGTCCATGAGTCCTTTTTCCTTTGGGCCCAATCCCTCCACCC